GATAATTTATTTTTAAATTTTCTGTAAAGACACAGTCTGGAAGTCCTGGGCTCAAATGATCCACCTGCCTTGGCCTCCCAAAGTGCTGGGATTACAGGCATGAGCCACCATGCCTGGTCAAATGCCCCTCTCCTCTTAACAGTTCGTAGGTGACCTCAGACAAAGCAACCTCCTCTGTCTGTGCCATGAGGAGACAGCACGGCTTCCCAGGACCAAAGTGGGGATAGAATAAGATAAAGGCATGTGGCTGTTTCTCGCCAAGCATGGCGGTCGGTCAGCCGTAGCTGAGAATGCCCTGGAGCCCTCTGCTCAGATCTGGCGCTCCTTCCTTGAGCCAGCCCCTAAACTTCTCAGAGCTTCGGGCTCCTCACTGAAGTGAGCTGAGGCGTTTCTGCCCAGCAGCTCTCTCTCCCGTGGCTGTTGCAGGATGAGATTGGTGGCTGGGTGCTGTGGCTCATACTTGTAATCCCAGCACTTTGGGAGACCAAGGCAGGAGGATCATTTAAACCCAGGAGTTTATATCAGCCCGGGCAACATAGCGAGACCCCGTCTCTACAAAAAAATAAAAAAATTAGCTGGGCACGGTGACACATGCCTGTGGTCTCAGCTACTCAGGAGACCGAGGCAGGGAGCCTTGCTTCAGCTTAGGAACTGGAGGCCACAGTGAGCTACGACGGTGCCACTGCACTCCAGCCTGGGTGGCAGAGCGAGATCCTGCATTTAAAAAAGAGAAAAAAAGATGAGATCAGAGATGTGAAATGGAGAAGGATCCCCTCTTGGCGTGGCCCAAGGAAACGGCATTGTGGGGGTGGGCATGGAGATGAGGACTTCAGCGGAAGCGACATTCTCAGGATGAGAATCCAGAACTGGCCCCTGGGGGTGGCGAGGGGGAGTTATGAGGCCTGGTGTGGTGAGTCCCAGCCTGGGTTCCCAGGAGTGGGTAGGGGCTGAAGAGCAGCCTCCTGGGCGTGGGGTCGCCTATTTTTGCCTCTACTACGTCATCCTCAGACCTGGGAGTGGCTGGTGCAGCATGGAACCAAATAAAGGCTTGTCGAATGAATGAATGAGTGATGGGGAGAATGGATGGCAACAGCCTTGGCGGTCACACTGGGCATCGGGAGCAGGCATGGACAGGGGTGCATCCAACCTCCTCCTTTCTGGCTGCCCCGGCTCTCCTTGCTCAGGTGCCCCAGACCCCATGCTCCCTCTAGCTGGAGCAGCTCAGGCCTCCCTGGCAGCCTCCAGGGGTCCCACCGTGACTCCCCAGACTCCTGAGGGCCTCCTCCCACCCGGGGTTCCTTAGGGTGCAGGCCAAGGACCCTCCTCTGGGCCTGGGAGATGTACTGAAACCACCAGGCAGGGTCTATAGGCCTGGGCCGGCCTCTTGGCCTCCTTGTCTGCTTTCACCTGGGCCTCAGTTTACCCCACAGTAAAGTCGCAACTTGACTAGAGAGGCGCTGTTCCCAGGGCCCTTTCGCAGAGGACCGGCCTAAGATCACTATCTTTCAGAGAAAGTGAAACCTGGTCCCCAACCGTCAAGGCGGTAACTCCCCCTCCCGGCTTCCCCTCTGAGCTCACAGCTTCCCCATCTTCTCCTTCCCCCATCCCGCCCCCTCCACAGCTAATACTTGGAATCAGACCTTCATCTTTGCTTTTTCCTTCAAAGGTCTTTTCCTTTTATGTCCATGATGGCAGCAACCATGTGAGGGGGGCTGGGAAAGACTTTTCTCCTCATTTTATAGTTGGGGGTCTCTGAGGCCCAGAGAGGTTACGTGACTTGCCTCAGGTCATGCAGCACCTCAGCAGGCTTGAATGCTGGCCTCCTGTTTCTCTTGCTCCAAGTGTCCAGTTCTCCCCCGTGGAGCCTGTCTACAGAGACAGGGCCTGGCTTTGGGGAGTGGGCCTGGCAGAGGGTGCACAACGGGGGAAAGGAGACGGTCAGGAGCTGGGCTGGGGGATGCTGGTCCTGGGGCCTGAACCACAATCTCGGGGCTGCCAGCCTGCGTCTGGCTCTGTGCCCAGAGCCCGGTGGTTTCCGCTCACAGATGTCCCAACAGCCCCGGCGAGAGGGCAGGAAGGGCACTCAAGAAGGAAGACGTCTCGCCCCCCTCAGCCCCCAACCACCATGTCCTGCGAGGCCAATGGCTCCTGGGCCGAGACTGGCCTGGGGCCTCCAGGGGCCCAACTTGAAGTCCCTCCTGCCCATCCCTGGCCCAGTTCCCCAAAGATGGCATGGACCCTCTTCCTCTGTGTTCACCCCAGGAAGGCTGAGGCTGCGGTTTACATCATCCTTGGGCGTAGGGCTGACCTCGAAGAACGAATTCGAAGAAAACAGGAGGAGGAGCGGGCATACACCGCGCCCAGCGCCCATTGGCCGCCCGTGGAAATTTTGGTTTTTGGGGTCATGTTCCCAGAAGGCCTGCCCTCCCCCCTCCCCATCCCCACCCACCTCATGAGGTGTTGGCCAATCGCCCCAGCGGGCATAAAGTGGCTGCCAGCCTGCAGGGCTCCCAGCCGAGAGGTGTCACCCCCAGCGGGCGCGGGCCGGAGCACGGGCACCCAGCATGGGGGTACCGCTCACACGGAGGACGCTGCTCAGTAAGTACTTCCTTCCTCCCCGTCAGAACCCGCCTGCTGGGTCTGTCCACAGGCGCCGGTGGGGAGCAGAGGCACCCTCTGCCCTCTGGGACCTGGGGAGGCCGGGCGCCGGGCAGAAGGATGCTGAGAAGGGGAGAGAGCCAGAAGGTCAGGCAGAGAGAGCGGTCCACTGAGAACCTGGCATCTCCACAGGTAGGGAAGGGGCATCCCTGGAAGGCTTCCAGGGGGAGGTGATGTCGAGATGTAGAGGCAACTCTGGGAACCAGGGAGTGAGAGAAGAGGATGGGCGAAGAGGCTGGGCAGGAGAGGGAGGCTCAGAAGCTGGGCAGGGAAGTGGTGTGAGGTGTGGAGGGATTGTGGGGCCTCCAGCTTGCCCCGGATGAATAGAAAGTCAGCCGGCCCTGGGGGCCCCAGAGCCCACACAATCACACAGCACGCACAGCCACACCCACATGGCCACATGCACACAGAGCCATATGACGTCATCTACAGCCCTGCATCTCACCAGCCCAGGAACCCCCACATGCAGACCACAGTCCCCACGGTGAAGGGAGCAGATCTCCCTCATGCTGCACACAGACCCAGATGCACAGCCACACAGACACCCTAGTCCCACGTGCGCTGCCACATGCACAGGCCCCTGCCAGAGCTCGGCAGCAGATACCTGGGGAGGCGGTGAAAGTGCCCTGGGGTCGCTACGCCTGGGTGCCCGGCCCCTCGGCCCTCCCCAGCAGCCAGTCTTCCCCAAAGGGCCGGATGGTTCTTAGGACGGGAACGATGGTGTCACTGCCTTCCGGGCCATTGCGCCACAGGCCCCTTCCGACCACGTGGCTGCCGGTGCCCTGTTGGGGGTGGTGGAGAGCGGTAACTGTATCCACCCCCAACACCTTCTGACAGGCTCACAGCATCCCTGGTGGGTCTGACAGAAGGAACCACTTATGGAGAGAGGAGGGAGGCATGAGAGGTCAGGGGAGAGCCCTGGCCTTTATGACCTGTGCAGGACCTTCTCCTGAGACTTGGTTTACCTGTCAGGAAAGTGGGAACATGGACTGGAAGGTCTCCCGCATCTGTTCCAGGCTGCGCCTCTGGTTGAAAAGGCGGCCTCTCCTGGTTCTAGACAGAGCTGAGGGCACAAGCCGCTCCCGGGCTGCCTGCCCTGAAGCCCTCTCAGGCCCATCTACCTGGATGGCCAGAGCAGCTGACAAGGCAGGGTCCTAGGCTGGTGGCCGGTCCTTAGCCCAATGGTCTTGCAGGGAGCCAGTCCCACCTTGCAGAGAGTCAGCTCCCGAGGTTAGAACGGTGCAGTAGGCAGGATTGGATCCAGTCGGGCGCTGCAGCCTTTGCTCGAAGACCTACTTGGTAAATCGCAGCCACTGTCTCAGTCCCTCCCACTGCTTGCTGTGTCAGGCCCTGGGCAGCGACTTACTGGGGAGATGATGGTGGCCTTGGTGGGCACACCTGTGCACACACCATGCCACACAGTGCCCAGCCCCCGCCCTCAACTACACAAAGTCCGGGATGAAGGAGGCACCTTTCAAGGCCCTCTTCAACCCCCTCCCCGAGGCTCCCATCTGTGGCTTTCCTTGCCAAGTTGGGTGACACCCCTCTTCTCTGCCTTAGGTCTGATCCTTGCACTCCTGTTTCCAAGTATGGCGAGCATGGCGGCTATGGGCAGCTGCTCGAAAGAGTACCGCATGCTCCTTGGCCAGCTCCAGAAGCAGACAGATCTCATGCAGGACACCAGCAGGCTCCTGGACCCCTATGTAAGCACCTGGGCCCTTGTGGCATCTGAGTCTCAGAGAACTGTGGGGTAAGAAAGGGAGTGAGAAGCAGGGAGGACAGGCCCAGCCTCACTCCATATGGCCAGGTAGGAGAACTGAGTCACTGTGTTATTCCAGCCTTAACCCTGAGGAGCTAAGGCTGGCCCTCCAGCTTCCCTAGCTCTGTGGTCCCGGGGCGGGACTCCAGACACCACCACCGCCCTCATCTGCTTACTCAGTGTGTTTCCTGCACACCTGCCAGGCTCTGGTCTAGGCACTGGGATGTAGCAGTGAGCAAGACAGAGTCCAGCCCTCTTGAAGCTCCCCATTCTCCACAGGCATCCCACCAGCCAGGTCCTCAACATCCCTCCAACCTTGCCTGTAGTGATCTTGGGGTCCTCTTCCCTCTCAGGTCTCAGTTTCCGGATCCGTCCAATGGGAGATTGGATAGGGGTGCATGAGGTCTAGCATTCCAAGGCTGACTTGTCTGTGATTGTGGTCCGGGTCCTCTGCATTTACCCTGTGATCCTCCTGTTTCCCCCAGATACGTATCCAAGGCCTGGATATTCCTAAACTGAGAGAGCACTGCAGGGAGAGCCCTGGGGCCTTCCCCAGCGAGGAGACCCTGAGGGGGCTGGGCAGGCGGGGCTTCCTACAGACGCTCAATGCCACACTGGGCCGCGTCCTGCACAGACTGGCCGACTTAGAGCAGCAGCTCCCCAAGGCCCAGGACTTGGAGAGGTCTGGGCTGAACATAGAGGACTTAGAGAAGCTGCAGATGGCGAGGCCGAATGTCCTCGGGCTCAGGAACAACGTCTACTGCATGGCCCAGCTGCTGGACAACTCAGACATGACTGAGCCCACGAAGGCCGGCCGGGGGGCCCCTCAGCCGCCCACCCCCACCCCTACCTCGGATGTTTTTCAGCGCAAGCTGGAGGGCTGCAGTTTCCTGCGTGGCTACCATCGCTTCATGCACTCAGTGGGGCGAGTCTTCAGCAAGTGGGGGGAGAGCCCGAACCGGAGCCGGAGACACAGCCCCCACCAGGCCCTGCGGAAGGGGGTGCGCAGGACGAGACCCTCCAGGAAAGGCAATAGACTCATGCCCAGGGGACAGCTGCCCCGGTAGCCTCGGGAGCACCCCTTGCTGCTGAAGGATGCGGCAGGTGCTCTGTGGATGAGAGGAACCATCTCAGGATGACACCTCCCGGGTCCCCAAACCTGTTCCCCTCTACTACTCGCCACTGAGAAGTGCACTTTAAGAGGTAGGAGCTGGGCAGACCCCTCTACCTCCTCCAGGCTGGGGGACAGAGTCCGGCTGTTGAACCCCACCTAGCCCCAAGTTCCCCAGGCCCAGTGGGGTGGCCGGGCAGGCCACGCGGGGCCGACTTTCCATTGATTCAGGGGTCTGATGACACAGGCTGACTCATGGCCAGGCTGACTGCCCCCCTGCCTTGCTCCCCGAGGCCTGCCAGTCCTTCCCTCTTATGACTTGCAGGGCCGTTGCCCCCAGACTTCCTCCTTTCCGTGGTTCTGAAGGGGAGGTCACAGCCTGAGCTGGCCTCCTATGCCTCATCACGTCCCAAGCCAGACACCTGGATGTCTGGGTGACCTCACTTTAGGCAGCTGTAACAGCGGCAGGGTGTCCCAGGAGCCCTGATCTGGGGGTCCAGGGAATAGAGCTCAGGTCCCAGCCCAGCCCCGAAGTCGCCATGTGGCCTGGGGCAGGTCACTTTACCTCTCTGGACCTGTTTTCTCTTTGTGAAGCTAGGGAGTTAGAGGCTGTACAAGGCCCCCACTGCCTGTCAGTTGCTTGGATTCCCTGACATAGGGTGGATATTAAAATCTGCAATTCAGGACATGTGGTGCAAATGGTGCTGGGTGGTGTACACGGAGGTCTCCGTAAAAGGAGACCCACCTCCCAGCGCCGGGAAGCCCCAGTCTTGGGCCCTTGCTGCTGGCTGCTCCCCCTGGTGGTGAGTCCTGGAATTTTCTCACGCAGGAGCCATTGCCCTCCTAGAGGGGGTCTCAGAAGCTGCGAGGCCAATTCCTTGGAGGGACATGACTAATTTATCGATTTTTATCAATTTTTATCAGTTTTATATTTATAAGGCTTATTTATGATGTATATTTAATGTTAATATTGTGCAAACATATATTTAAAACTTGCCTGGTTTCTAAAGCCTCTCTGTCTCTCGGTTGTCTTTGGGGAGAGGATTTGGGGTGGCCTTTTAGAGAGGGGAGGAACCCTAGGTGGGCAAGGCCAAAAGCATCCATGCTCTGGGGATGGGCTGGAGGTCTTTGCTCTGCCCAGGAAGGGAAATCACATGCCCCAGCCGCCGGGGGCTGTGACTGTGGTGGGGTGGGGTGGGGTGTCAAACTCAGACAAGGCATTGGTTATGGCCGAATGGGGCTCCCTTGACATATTGGGGATGAGGGGTGTCAAGATGTGGTAGCAAGAGGGGAGGAAGAAAGGCTTGAGTGTGTGGGCTGCTTCTGGGCCCCCATGGGTGTGTGGTTGAGGTCTGCATGCTGATGGACGTTGCATGCTGATGTGTGTTACATACCAATGTGTGTTGCATGTGTATTTCTCTTACCTAATTTTGAAGCCTGGATGTCAGTGTCCTAATGGAGGTTTATGTCTGTATCTGTATTTATGAGTGCGTGCAGACATGGATATCTGGGTGTGTCTCTGCATGCGTGTCTGTGCATGTGCAAGCTTAGGTGTGTGCCAGTGTGTCCTCTCATATGTGTGTATGTTCCTGGATCACCCTGGGGGAACAAGGGCACATCCGGTGCCTGGAACATGAAAGGTGCCCTAGGCATTTGTGGAATGAATCAAAGAGTGAGTTCACAGCTACACCCCTGCCACCAGCATCCTGCCTGATGTGGAGTGAGCATGCAGCAGACATGAGGAATGGCTGTGTGCAGAGGAACGAAGAGACTTGGCTGGGCTTGAAATCCTGTCTCAGCCCCTTTCCATCTATCTGGGTGACCTTGGGAAAATTCTTTAACATCTCTGAGCCTTTGTTTCCTCATCTGTGGAATGAACAAAAGAATAACAGATCCTGCCTCAGACAGGGCCAGTGACCTGGTTTGTGCTTAAAACTGCTTCCCGAAGAGCCCAAGGGGTTAGGGTTTCCATCTGGCCCCCAGAAAACTGGGCTCCTCCCAAATGCCCAGGCGAGCATGTATAGACCGAAAACATGCTGAGGCAAGGGCTCCCAGAGGCAGGTGAGCTTGACTTGGATCGGTCCATGGCTACCCCTACTTCCTGAAATGGCAAAAAGAGCTGGGGATGGGATGGGAACAGGAGGACTCGACATTAGGGTGGAGGAGAGCCAGTGCAGAGCTCCCTGCAATAGACATGACACATTTTGCAGATGAGAAGACTGAGGCTCAGAGAGTCTGAGTGGCCAGCCCACATCCTTAGACCAAATTAACCGGGAATGGGCACAGTTTGAATTCAGGGCCGTAGGACTCCTGGGTGGGAGCATCTTCCTGGTACCCCTCCTCCTCTATAACTTGGCTGACAATTTCATGAGTTCCTGAAGGCACAGAACTCCAGGGCAAGGGGCAGACAGACAATAGACAGGCACAAGGACCAACAGGAGCATCTGAGATTGCAGGATGAGCTCAGCAAAAATAAAGCAGGGTGATGTAACAGCAGCGGGAGAGCCAGGCGCTGCGAGTGGCCAGAGTGGCATCTGGAGAGGTGACGTCCACACTGCGGTCTGAGTGACGTGCAGATGGGGAGGTGGGAAGAGCTAGGGCAAAGGCTCTGAGCATTCAGGGATCAGAGTATCACGAGTGAGGGCATCAGGATTTACCCAAAGGCCCAGAGAGGGGAAGCATCTTGCTTAAGGTCACAGAACAAAGTAGTGCAGGGCTGAGGCTAGAACTCCAGGCCCCTAACTCCCAACCAACAGTCTTCCTGGGCAGCTGCCTGACATATTGCAGCCTATTTACCAAGTACCTAGCAATGGCCTCCCGCAGCCCCCACTGGGCTCCCCCTCGCCCTCAGGGGGTCCTACCGTAATGGCCATCTTTTGGCTCCCAAAGTGCCTGGGGCTCCTTCCTACCACAGGGTTTCTTCCTACGCTGTTCCCTCTGCCTGGAATGCTGTTCCCCATCCTGTTTGTCAAGTTAGCTCCTTCCTTGTAAGATCTCAGCTGGAGGATGCATCCTTAGCAATTCTTTCTCGCCTGTCCAGAGTCTGGGTCTGGGAACCTGGTTGCGCCCTCCCTTCCGGCAGCATGCACTCTGGTGTTCACATTCCCAACTGTGTCTCCTATTAGCATGGAGGACGGAGACTGAGTCTGCTTTGCTTGACGCTGTCCCTGCATCCACATGGTGCCTGGCACACAGTAGGTGCTCAAGGAAGAGCAGGGCAGGTGGGGCTCCGCCTCCCAGCCCCAAGGAGAAGACAGAGGCAAGTGTGTTGCTGGGGGGAAGCGGAGGCACTGAGGCGCACACCAGGGAGCCTGTCCTAGACAGGTGTCACTCCCACACCTGGCCTGCCCTGGCTCCAGGCCCCGCCAACAGCAGAGGGGCTGCCCTCACTTGTGTCTCCCTGCTCCAGCTGCGGGAAGGGGGCTTCCTCGACCTCAGCTGCTGGGAAGATGTGGGTGGGAGGTGGCAGACACCAAAACCCAGGCACACTCGGGTTCCTGGAGCGGAAGGGGAGCAGGCGCTGCGGCCGGTGCGGGGGTTGCCCTCCAGGAGGGCAGAGGTTGGCCTGTGGGGGAAGAGCTGGGAAGCCCAGCATGGCTGCCCCCACCCCGGGTCGTCCCCCACCTCTCACCGCCCAGGAGAGGTGTCTGGGGCTGACTTTGAACTAGAGCACACCCACCCCACAGGAAACAGATGGGGGAGCTTGATTCTGGGAAGGGGTCTCAAGTACACTATCTATGAGGACTTGTCACCCCATAACATCTCCCGAGGAGTCATAATTGCAGGTAACCCCACACTACCACCTGCAGTCTGATCCCTCCCAAGGCCAGATCCTACAGACTCAGCTACCAGGATAGTCTGTCTCCTGGCTTAGTGGTGTCTTGAAGCCAAAATCACCGTTCTGCCCCCAAACCCTACACTTGCTTTCTGCTTCTCCTTTTCCCCTACTAAAGTTCCAGAATCCCAGCCCATTGCCTTTGTCTTCCTTGGCCCCTCCTCTCCCCTCCATCACTCGGTCCTGTGGTCTCTCCCATACCCATCTCTTGCAGGCGACTCCTCTCCCCGTCCATTTAGCTGCTCCCACCCCTGCATGCAGCCTGAGCTCCCTATTCCCCCTCAGCTCTTCTTTTTTTCCTTGGGAGAAACAGGGTTTCACTCTTCGCCCAGGCTGGAGGGCAGTGGCACGATTGTGGCTCACTGCAGCCTCGACCCCCCGGGCTCAAACAATCCTCCTACCTAAGCCTCCCAGGTAGCTGGGACTACAGGCATGCACCACTATGCCTGGCTAAAGTTTTGATTTTTTGTAGAGATGGGATCTTGCTATTTTGCCCAGGCAGGTCTCGAACTCCTGGCCTCAAGCAACCCTCCCACCTCAGTCTCCCAAAGTGCTGGAATTACAGGCATCAGCCTCTGTTCCTGGTTCCCCTCCCCATTTCTTACATCTTCCTGCCCTTGAGGCCAAGCTCAGATGCCCCCACCTCTGTGATTCCCCCACCCAGAGGGGCTTGTGGGGCTGCCCCGGTGCTGTGGGTGGCTTGCAGAGTGCCACTGTGGAGTTTCCATCAGACAGAGGCAGAACGGGGCCTTGTCGAATCACCCTGCCGACTCCACAGCACGGACTGCTGTGTGATGGTCCCCACGACCATCCACCATGAGAGGCAGCAGTCTACTGGTGTCAACTACTGCTTTGTTGCCACAGTGCGCAAGAGCTAACGCTCTGCTAGGCACATTTTCCCTAGAGGGACGAGGCCCTCCATGAAGTGTGTGCTCCCTGCACTGACTCACATTAGGGACAAAGGGGTCACGAGCAGCTGTCCGCTGGCACCAGGCTAAGGAACATAAAGAGATCCTGGTGCAGTCCAGCCGCTGAATCCACTCGAAGCTGGGTTCTCTTTTTCTTTTTTAAGTTTTTCAGAGCGGAGGTCTGGGACTCTCAGTCAATGCTGCATGTCACACACATGAGTTAAAAGTTCCCTAGGAGAGCAAAACTACAGGAAAAGGCGGGGAGGGGTCCTGACACATTTTGTTAATCTACAGAACGAACTCTCAGCATAGAAACAGCAGAGCCAGGATGTGAACCCGGGCCTTCCTTGGGCCTCTGTGGCCTTAGACTCTTTGCTGCAGGACTTCATGTGATTTTTTTTCTTCCCAGGGATGAGTTTAAAATACTTTAGAGTTATGCAAAACGAGTTAGACCTCAGCCCCCTAGCTGGGTACCCTGCCCGGGCTGAGCCTCAGTTTCCCCGCTGTACAATGGGGCCAACTTGGCCTACCTCTCAGCTGTGACAAAGATTCCCTGGGAGACAGCACAGACACGACGTTGATGGCAGGGCCGTCCCTGAGCCAGTGTGGCTGAGGCTCTCTCTTATTTCCCCTTTCCCTCCTTAGTGGTTTTCTTTCTTCTTGGCTCTTTTCTCTTTGTCCCTGTCCTGTCACCTGCCCTGCCTGCCTCCCACCCTCCACCCAGGGGCTGGGACATGGGATCCCCACAAAAGCCCTTTTTCAGTGCCGAGGAAGGGTCACAGTCCATGCTCCTTTGGAGTGGGGAGGCCCTCCCAAGGCTGGCCCGGCTCCCTACGGCTCCCTACAGCTCCCTACGTCTCAGGAGGGCTGGGCTCGGGGAGGGGCGAAGGTCTCTGAGGGAGGGGGTTGGGCAGGCGGGGCCCTGGAGCTTGTGGCAAGGGTGGATCAGATGGGCCAGGTGGCACCCCAGGTTCGGAGGTAGGTGCTAGGGCAGGGAGTGGTGTCCTGGGAGGGGGCCCAGTGTCTCGTTGGGGGAACTGCAGCCCTGTGACTCTTCTGGGGACAGGGACAAGGGGAGGCTGGCTGTGCTGCACACGGCCTGTGGCAGGTCTGAGTCAAAACACCTAAGGCCGACCCCTGCGGTCATGCGGAGGGCTGCCCAGTCATCGCCTTATGCCGGCCTGGGTCACTCAGGCAGGCTGGGCGCGGCCCCGTCAGCTGTGACTCAGGCCCCAACGGCCTCGCCACGCAGCACCGGGCAGGGGC